ACACATATGTATTTATGTGTCTGAATTTGAATTAAAAATTTTAAATCTGTTTTGCTGGCCAGGGTGACCCAAACTTGTAATCCCAACTCTTCAGAAGGCATAGGTACTGGAGGACTGCGGTCTGTGTGTATGGGAGAACCTATCTGAAAAGCACCCAGAAGAAAGAAGGCTGGGAGTACGGCTTAAGTGGCAGAGCACTTCCTAGGCAAGTGCGAGGTCCTGAGTTCCAACACCAGAACCCCAAAATATGTATAAAAAATTTAAATCTTTTAATGGACTTTTATGACTCTGTAGTGATACATTTAGCTTTCCATGGAATAAATTAAAGGCATTATCAAAGTCTCTGATGTGCCAATAATCTGCATTGTTCAAGGGAGGGGCTGATTCAGGACTATTGGTGCAATTAAAAACAAAGGATTCAAAATAAGGAAAGGTTTCTGGACAGCCCCAATCTGCTGGCAGAGCAGATTTTGGCTGTAAATGGTTTAATGCCATTTTTGTCTCATTCTCCTCAAATCTAATATGCTACATTGTTAATTTTGTAGATCCATCTCTGAAAGCCATAAATTGAACATTCCCATTGTCTTAAATTCTTGTAACTTTTAGTAACATTTGTGAAAGGACATAGGAGAGACGAAATTGCTACTGGCTGACAAATACATTCTAGGAATATTTTATAGAAAATTCTCTTTCTCTCTCAACTCAAAATAGTCACTGGAAAGACACCACATTTTATAAACATCTAAAAATTCATTGTTTAAATTCAGGAAAAGAAGATCAAAAGCTTAGACACTCATTTGGATCTTCCAAAAAACACTTAGATCCAGGTTTCCCTGATTTGTCTGAGGCAGGCCTGTCTTTTTTTAAACGTGGCATTCCCCAAAACAGTAGTTACATATTTGAGCTTGAACATTATGCTAGGAAAGGATGGGTTTGAAAACTACTTATCTTTGAATGAATTTTTTGACTTGCTTGCCACTCACCTGGCATTTGGCCAGGGACTGAAGACCTGATGAGAGCTGGGGACTACACCTCACTCACAGGGCAGAGAAGGGCAACAGTGACCACTATCCAATGGAGAGTGTTACAGTCCTACACAGTGCTTCCAGCTGCCCAGCTATGGTGCTACCTAATGGTTTCCGTGGCATCATGGTATGTTTGTGTGCCATTGCACATAGGTAATTATGTGTCTATTAGCTATCTTTTTTAACCCAGTGAATGTCAGGCTCTATACCAAGGGGCTATGGACGCATTATCTCTAATTACCATGCCACTCTTCATTAAAAATTGCTATTATTGATATGATAGTTGTTATAATTGGGATATGAGGTGTCCTCCCAAAAGGCTCATGAATTGAAGGGTTGGTCGCCAGCTGGTTGCACTGTGTCTGGAGGTTTTGGAAGCTTTAGGAGGAGGGGCCTAGTTGGAGGGATGGGTCCCTGGGGGGTGTGTCCTTGAGGGAGGTCTCTTGTCCTTGACTCTTGCCTTGCTGTCTGTCTCTCTGCTTCCTGTGCACCATGAGGTAAGCAGCCTCTGCCACCAAGATGCTCTGCCTCACCACGAGCGCAGAAACAACAGAGCCAAGATCCTATGGACGGAAGCCTGTGCTTGTTCAAGTTGTTTGTCAGGTACTTTGTCACAGCAATGAGGAATCTAACACACATACATTGTGTATGTGTAGAAGTTTAAAATCAGAGAAGTGAAGTGTTTTTGCCTAAGGTCACATCACATCTCTCTAGCTCCAAATGTTCTACTTTACATCACACTCTGATTCCCATCTACATGTATCTGTTGTTTTACCCATGGCTCAACTAAATTCTGTGAAAAATACTATTGTAAATAAAAATTCAAAGCCACTCTTTTTCCCAGAACCAGAGTAATCTTGTGGGACTGGACTCCCGTTACGGGTGCATCACACTCAGAGCCACTAAGGGGCCCTAATACCATTGCTCCCTGCACTACTTTATTCACGATGGGCACCCTGAGGAGACTGTGAACATGCCTTTCCTCATTGTGGGCGATTTCTGAAAGATTGTGCAGTTTCCTCACTTCTCAGCCCCCACTGCTCATTTCAGAGAAAGTTCATTTAACATTAAAATAGGACAGACACTGTAAAAAAAAAAAAAAGATCAGACAATAGAACTAAGGTAACGCGGACAGACAGAAGGGCAGGGTCACTACAGCTGAAAGAATATCTTATTTCATTCTTCCTTTCTGTCATTTATATCTCCTCTCATTCTCAAAAGGATTGGCAGCGGGACTTAAAGGAAAAGTGTTTGAATCTGAGTTTAACAAGACATTGATTTACATAAAAGACAAGTAGGAAAAAGAGGAAATAGAGAAGTGTGACGTCGTTCTCTCAAATACATTGAATTTTAGGTTTTTTTTTTTCCTAATGCTATATACTGCAAATTTCTAGTGTGATTTTAATTATAAATAATTGTATCTGTTACTAAAGACATTTGCTTAAGTAAAATAATTATATTTGGTACTAAAGACATTTAAATAAAAAAGAATTGTGGTTCTGGGACTATGAATAATATCTATAACCATGAGCTAGGATTCATTAAAATACTTTTAAAGTTAAATTATTTTTCTAGTGAAAATACTGATATAATTGGGAATCCTGTGATGAGCTTTTTCTGGCGGAACTGGACCTAGGATAACATAGCCATGAGGAATAAATTTCATGGCTAGAATGGTCCAATTTTGTAATAGAACCCTCTGAAAATAAAGCAAACTACATCATGGCACAGTAGTGACAGGCGTCTAAGATAAAAGTTAAAAGTAATATTTAGGAGAAAATTAAGCTAAAAGTAATATTTTCCCCCACAAAAGTCAGAAAATATTAGGCAGAAAAATAGTTTGAACAAAGAATTCCTGATGAATTCCAAACGAGTTAGCTGTGTTTGGGACATATTGAGGATTGTAGTATTTCACTTTTCCACAGTGATGAACAATTGCTAAGGATATATTCCTAAAGCCAACCACTTCCTTTGTTAAATATATGAACATTTACGAATGACAGAGTTAAAGACAAGGTATAATCAGAAAGCAATAGACTAGAGCTGTCTAGATAGGTCTGTCTTTATGACAGCTGTATTGTTCCTTGAAGGTTTGGTATGGAGGAGTCTAGTTGTCTGTTGAGCATCACAATTTTCTTCTTTTGTACAAGGATACAAAACAATGCTTGGCTTTAGGTTCCATAATGTACCATGGGATACCAGCATGAGCCCATTGTTGTAGTGGTAACTACCCCTAGATGCTTAAGCAAGAGAGGAGAGGTGGGGTCATCTTCCCTGATGATCAAGTTCAGAAGCCAATGTTCACCCTGGAGAAAAGCTATAGAAATGCTAGCTTTACAACAGCACCTGCAATAACAACAGAACCTAACCTGTAGGCTTCTATGAAGGTTATTGAGGAAATATTTGTGAATCATACACTTCATAAATCTTAGACTTCAGGGGATAGCCATTATCTGATTCTTCTTGAATAAGTCTTCGCTCTCTCTTTCTCCCTGCTCCCCCAAATCTTCATTTCTTATCTCTACCTCCCTCAAGTTAACTAGAATCTAAATATAATTAATAAACTTGGAACTTTTTTTTTTACAAATCTTAATTAAACAATGTACACATGTGGAGTCTTTCTAAAACTGCATGGATATTTGATGCTGCTATATAGAAAAAACATGAATTATGAATGAAGAATATTCAGATAAGTATTTTCTATAAAGTAGGAATTCTGTTACTAACTTTGGACATTTAGAGACTCAACTACTAAAACCCACTTTCAATTTCTCAAAGAATAACCTTTTTGCCTTAATATTTACACAAACCATAGCTCTTCAGATGATTTGAGGTAGATAGCAACTCCCTTCCTTACAGCCTTCCTGAATCCTTATAGCCTCAGTTTGAAGTCCTTCCTGCTGAATAGTATAGTATTATACATATAATTAGCTCCCACTATTGAAAGATAGCAAAAGAGTTTCTGAGAAATCCATAATTTCCTGAAGAGTCCTTACTGAAGCAGACTTAATAGCAATTTAATTATAATATAAAAACAGTGATTCCAAACAAAGGATTTGTTTGTGTAGGAGCTGCCATACACTCAACTTTGTGTTTGATTTTTCTTTTCTTGATCTACAATGAGCAGATCATGTTGTAAAATGTTGACGCAGCATTCCACTAAATTACCAACTTATTTGCATGGCTGTCAGGAAGTAACTTCAAATGTTGATGTATCCCATGCATATGAGACGTACCGAACTTCAAAGTTAGCAACAAGAAAATTAGATTCACAGAGTTGAAAGAAAATCACAGTGCAATGAACAGACGTACATCCATGTCTGCCAAGAGATCGCCAAACACTTGTTAAATATCTTTGTAGCGTAAACAGACTCATCTGAGCTTATCTGTGTTCCAAAGCTTGTAGAGTAACATTTTTTAAAGTAATAAATATACCGGCATCTATGTTTTAATCAGTACTCACCATCCACGAGTAATGTAAGTTATTAATTACAAGTTATTAAATAGTAAGTATGAAATAAGAAAAATTTCATTTTTCTGAACTGGGAGAGAAAATATTAAGATTCTCAAAACCAGATTTCGATAGTGCTTTTAGGAATTCATCTTAAATCAGTTTTTAAGAAGCTGCCTCAAATTTTAGCAGAAAGTATTTAAAGGTAAACCCTCTATTAAGAAAAAGACAAACTCAAAACCTACTAGTGTATTCAAAGACTATTAAAACCTTTCCAATTTAATGACTGGAAGCTTGGAGAAGTGCTCCAGTGCTCCCGCATGCGTGAGGGGGAATAAATGAAATTGTTAATTTTTCTTTCCCTTGGGAGTCACGGGCGAAGGGAGGGAGTGGCTGTGTGGCTCTCCAAATGGGACGCGGTTTACAGGCGATGGTAAATCCTCAGGGGGCTGCTCATGAACTCGACTTGGACCACACCCTTATTTGAGGGCTTTAAGGACGATTTGGCTTGTGGGATGACTCACCATTCATATTCTTAAAGATGTTCAGAATAGGGAGGATTTGACGGTAGTAGGGCACCAAAGCCTCGCCCACCATCTCAGCTGACACAACCAGATGCTGGAGGACTTTGAGCGTGACACAGATGACCTGCCGGTTTCGGAGATTCAAGGCATCTAGAAGGCAGGAAAAAATGGACAAGTAGAAAACACTAAGCATGCGTTCTACAGAGTTGAGGTGCAATTGCGCCTTGGATGCATTTAATCACACGATGCTCTGCTGGGGACCTTCTTATTACAGCTCTGACAGGGCATGACTGACCCAGCACTGTGAAGCTTCTTGTGTGAATACGACTTATTCCCTCCTCACCATTCCATGTGAGCTGGCTCCTCACCGACCCCAAGAATGCAGCTCATTTTCCCTTCAGAGAAGAGGCTACAGGTCTGAGAGGGAACAGAAGGACAGCTGCCACAGAAGGTTAGAGATCACTTAGTGTCACTTCTGCAGGTTGGCAAAATATCCATCTTTATGCAATGATCTCTTCCAGTGAGCAATTTCTGCTGTCCTTAAAGCCTCTGCCATGGGGCAAATCTGTGTTTGGGAAGGAGTGCTGAGCATCGAGAATATTCTTAGTAGAGGTGAACATGAAGTGACTATATACAGGTTCTCAAGAAAGTAGAGAAGAAAAGCAAGGTTGGTGAGTGTTCAGTTAAAGAGTCAGCAATAAAATGTTGTGAGACCAAAGTAATTCGACCAATTTTAAAGAACAGTTCTGAGTGCAAAGCAACGAGCTGTACTGCAGAGAAAGGCCAAGAGATGGCAGATTGCCTAGTAGGCCTTACTCTACAGGGGCTGAAAGGTGCCATTTATTTGAGCAGGGATGCAGAGCGTTGGGAATCAGGATGCTGGCTGTATGAACCTGGCCATGCAGACATGTTCCTGGCCCCAGTTTCCTTGATCATGGCAGCCTATTATTTGCTTTCTAAGTTTAGAGCCAGAAATAGTGGTGCATGTCTATAATACCAGCTATTCTGGAGTTGGAGGTAGGAGGACTATGGGTGGAGTCTGGCCCTGGACAAAATGCACCCTATCTGAAAAATAAACTAAAGCTAAAAGTATTTGTAGTGTGGCTCAAGTAGTAGAGTGCCTGCCTAGCAAGCACTGTGTTCAAGTTCCAGCATAAAAAGATGACTAAATTCAAATGATTTAAGCAGAAGATCTATATAGAGACCAGAGGTGGGGACTGATAGACTTCTCCAAAAAAGGAGCCAAATACTCTAACTTCTAAGATATGCTACTTCCTAATGAGAATGGTTGGCTATGAGCTTGAAGTGTGTCATTGTGGAGAGGCAACAGCAGCGGGTTCTCAAAAGGGCCTAATGCTCTGATGACTGAGATCAAGAAGAAGAGCATTATTCTTGAACAATTTCCAGCAGCCTCATCTTTCTCCACTTTCAATTCAGTGTGCACCAAAGGCGTGACTCTCTCTGAGCTTTCCTTTTTCTGGGTTCCTCATACTTACGAATGATGCAACCTGGCCAATTTCCAAGTCACATGAGCTCAAAACCTGCTTCTCATTTCTCACATTCCCAGGTTGCAAAATCTTCAAATTCAGCATTGCAGTATCCTTAACTTTGTGCTTTTCTTTTCATTCTCACCCTTTCTCTCCTGGTCCTGGGTCTTCATTCTGTCCTTCTCTTCTCTGGTCTGGGTCTCCATCCTCTCTTTCTCTCTTTTTTGTTCTGGCTTTCCATTCTCCCCTCCTCTCCTCTGGTCTGGGTCCCCATCTTCCCCTCCTCTCCTTTGGGTCTCCACCTTCCCCTTCTCTTCTCTTGTCTGGATCTCCATCTTCCCCTTCTCTACTCTGGTCTGGCTCCCCATCCTCCCTTCCTCTCCTCTGGTCTGGATCTCCATCTTCCCCTTCTCTCTTTCAGTTTTGGTTCACCATCTTCTCCTCCTCTCCTCTGGTCTGGATCTCCATCTTCCCCTTCTCTCTTTTAGTTTTGGTTCACCATCTTCTCCTCCTCTCCTCTGGTCTGGATCTCCATCTTCCCCTTCTCTCTTTTAGTTTTGGTTCACCATCCTCCCCTCCTCTCCTCTGGTCTGGGTCTGTATACCACAGGACTCAGAGTTCCCTGTCCCATATCCTACAGAATAAAGGACAAACTAGGCAGACACAAGGAAGACATTCAGAGTAAGTTTGAATTAAACTAAATCCTTAGTTAAAAGTCCAAGAGTATAAAATATCACTTAGTGGTTTTATAGCTATTTCCTGTGGAAGTTTGTAAAAATATAGTAGGGGTCATTTTCCCTCCTCCACAACTAGGGATTGGTGCATGAAAGCACTTCAAAGCAGCCCCACAACTTCTGGTCCAGTCAGGACTACATTATTGCACGGTTTGAAAGTGAACACAAATGTAATGAATACAGATGGTCAGCCTTAGCTCAGGGAGCCACCTGAATATAACCCCAGAACTTGGCAACAAGATGGCTTCTTATTACAGCATTTAGACACTTTGTGGGCCATACTGAATCTTCTGAAAACAACTAAAAATAGAATGCTATAATTTAGTGTAAAAGCTGTAGCAATGAGACAGAACTTCAGAGCAGGTGGAGAGGAGGAAGGGCATGCAGTGAATTGCACAGGCTCTTTTTCTGGGTTCACTGGATCTAAGAGTTGTTTTGTCTTTCCAGGAAGTTCAGAGTTATTGAACCTTGCCTCGCAAGCTATCTCAGTTTACCAGAAGAGAACTGGGAGCCAGCAGAAGAGCTGTTGTAAGGATTGTGGGCAGAAGACATTCTTTCAAAACGTCTCTCTGCAAAGTCCAGTGTGTTTGGGTGTCAGCACTGAATCATCACTCTTGAGACAGTTCACAACACTGAGTGTCTCTATATGTTTGTAATTAAAATGGGCGTGTTTTACTCTGTTCATTCTTCCCGCCTCACTCCTTGAAAAGGACTCACAGCCACATCTAGCTAAATGCTTGAGGAACTGCGTAACGAGGAAAGATGAGATGTGGAAACACAGCACATGGATATGTTCTTTATATCAAAAATCAATCTACAATTGAATACACATAGTTCTCATTCAAATTTGTGGGATTTGGCTTTTGTCAAGAAAGGCTTCTGTTGATACTATAAAGACACAGGTAGAGGAACCCATAAAAGGTCTTTGAAGGGCTTTGGTGGCTGAAGTGTCTTATGCTCTTCCCTTAGTGTGTGCACTCCATAGCTTGCGATGAACAGTGAGTGCACCCATCTCCTCCCAGTCTAGAGTTTTGCCACATGGAATATACCAATTAAGGAATAAGCTTCATATACATATATGAACAATTCCAACACTGGTTTTTTTTACTAGGTTTATCTCTACATGGATAGCTACTTGATCACTTAGGGTGTCCATTAATGATCTCTCTCAATGTGGATTTATTGCTATTAACAAATACTTTCATTGCACCTTTGGCTGAATTAACCCACATGGCTGTGACTAATGTTACTGAAATGTTATTAGGCTGACGACTGACAACTGAAATTCATGAACTGTTCCTCTTAAAGTCATCCGGAATACAGTGCTAAGTCCTCCTAGACAACTAGGTAATGGCTTTAAAATCTCCACAGTGGCTGTGAGATAAAGTCGGGTGGTACCATAAAAACCCCTTAACTTCAGTAAGAGGGCTTGTATTATTTTCATACTGTCCATTTCCACTTCGGTTCCTGTATTTTTCTTTTTCATTCTTGAAGAATTTAGGTATAACATTAAGTTGGAAGTCTTTTTGTTCTTGCTGTCCCAATGGAATTAAAGAAAGATGATTTTTTTTTTTTTTTGGAGTGAAACAAAGTTTTTTTCCTTTGAAAAAGTATGTTAACAGATACAAAGAGAATATGATTCTGTGGCTTGAAAGAGAAGAAATGTGTTTATTCTTGTGTTGATGGGCCTGAAAGCTATTGTCAAGAAATAAGTGAAGACTTTGAACTCAAGAGTTAAGGTTTTGAAAAAGGTCTAACGTGAGGCATCTTCTGACGTTATGTAGCCGCTCTACTGAGAAAATTGGATTTTGATGGTACCGCTCACTGCCTTCAAGTGCAATCAACAAGACACAGCTTGCAGATATAGAGAAATTGTGAAGAATGAGGAAAAAATAATTTGAAGTCAAAGTGGTGAAATTTATTCATCTTAAATGGTTATAAAGTACACGTGTGATTTTCTCAGGTCTAAAATCCATTATTGCTATGATAGTTTGCAAAGTGGGAACATTTCCTACTATTACATGTGATTTGCAAGAAAGATGGAAATATTTCCACTAGTTCTTTTTTTATAACCAGAAACACCAAACAATATGAAAGCAAATGAACTCTAAAAAATATTTTTGACATGTGCTGTAAATGTTAATGTCCTTAATACACAAATAGCTATGACAGTCCAATAAAAGAATAACTGTTCTCACTAAAAATGGGCTAAGGATATGAGCAGGCAGTGCATTAATTAACAAATGAGAATTAATGAGCAATTAATATGTGCTCTACAACTTAAGCCATGCTCCCAGCCCTTTTTTTGTTTTAGTTATTTTTCAGATAAAGTCTCATGTTTTTGCCTGAGTTGGCCTCAGACGGTGATCCTCCTACCTAGGCCTCCAGAGTAGCTGGGATCACAGAGGTGAACCACCATGCCAGCTTATTGTTTGAGATAGGGTCTTGCTAACTTTTTGCTGGGCCCCAAACTGAGATCCTCTTGATCCCTTCCTCCTAAGAGCTGGGATTATAGGCGTACACCACCACGTCCAGCAAAGTTATTAGTCTTCTAATAGGGAAAACTTTAAAAAATAAGAAAATTCTCATGAGACATAAGTGAGTAAGGAAGTAAGTCATAAAGAAGACAACACTGGAAATGTACAGGATTAGACGCTAACAATAGAAACTATTCTATGTGTAGCACTTCCTTTAAAAATCACGTACTTTTAAAAAACATCTATTAAAAGGTTGTCAACACAGTGTACTCCTTAGTATTAAGCACTACACTTCGTGATTGCAACTTTGTTTTCTTGTTTGTTTTATTAAGACAGGGTCTCGTTATGTAGTCCCAGCTGGCCTTGAACTCATGATCCTCCTGCCTCTGCCTTCTGAGTGCTGGAGCTATCGATGTGCACCAGTACACCCGGCTGTAACATTACGGTTTAAT